TAAACTTAAAATTCTCTCGAATTATTTGAATTCCAATACTATATGATGCATCTCTCATGTCTTTCATCTCAAACTTTTCGCTGAGATCTGCCTTGATATTATTCAACATTTCTATATCATTTCCAGCGAGCAATATATCATCCACATATAAGGATAATATAGTAAATTTGCTCCCACTTTTCTAGACATATACACAATTATCTAAGTTATTTTGAATAAAACCAAGTTTAGTGACTGCATCATGAAATTTGAGATATCATTGTCTAGAAGACTGTTTTAAACCATATAGAGATTTTATTAATTTGTAAACTTTATGTTCCTATCATTTCACCTGAAAACCTTCAGGTTGTTGCATATATATCGCTTCCTTCAACTCTCAATTAAGGATTGTTGTTTTAACATCCATTTGGAATAATTCCAAATCAAGATATGCAATAATAACCAAAATAATTCTAATGGATACAAATTTAGCTATTGGAGAATACGTCTCCTGAAAATATATTCCTGCCTTCTTGTTATAATCCTTAGCAACTAACCGTGCTTTGAATTTATCAATAGATCCATCAACACAATATTTCTTTTTGAGCACTCATTTGCATCTTATAGCTTTTCTATTTTCCTGTAGGTCAGATAACTCCAATACCTTATTCTTTTCTATAGAATCAAGTTCTTCTCTCATAGATTCTAGCCATAAAGCTGATTCATGTGATTTCATCGCATCAGAAAAGGTTAAGGGATATTGTTCTTCTATATTTGTATCTACCGAGAAACAGGATGGCTCACATGAATACAAATATTAATCATTCATCCATGAAGGTTGTGTTCTTGGTCTTTTGTTGCCTACAATCGGTTGATTAGGTATATTATTTTCCATAGATATTTCATCATTTTCAAGGCTAGGTTCATTCACAATATCAATGTCATTAGTGGGAATAACACTGTAATAATCATTATCTATTACAGTTAGAGGTCTGTTTCCTCTCGAACTTATTCATCTTCCTCTAGATTCTCTAGAAATATAGCATCTCTGCTTTTAATGACTTATTTTTCTTTATTGTAGAACTTATAACCTTTTGACTTTTCTAAATACCCTATGAATCTACACTTTATTGTTTTAAAATCCAACTTATCTCTAAGTTGATATGGAATGAGAACATGGGCTATAGATCCCCACTTCCCGAGATGACTCAAATTAAGTTTCCTCTCATTCCATAATTCATAAGGTGTAGATACAACTGATTTGGTGGGAATTCTATTTAGAATACAGTTTGCAGTTAACAATGCTTCTCCTAACAAAAAAATTGGAGAGACCAGAATGAGACAACATGCATCTAACTACATTACGTAATGTTCTGTTCTTTCTTTCAGCAACACCATTCTGTTGTGATGTATACGACATTGTTGTATGCCTTTTAATTTCATGCTGAATACAATAGTTCTCAAATTCTTTAGAGTTATATTCCCCACCTCTATCAGTTCTTAAAATTTTGATTTTCAATCCAAGTTGGTTTTTAACTTATGTCTTATATCTCTTAAAACAGTCAAAATCTTCTAATTTTCTGGATATAAAATAGACGTGTGCAAACTTGGAATAATCATCTATAAAAGTAATAAAATATTTTTTATTACTATGGGTTTTGACACTTAATGGACTACAAATATCCGAACGTATCAACCCTAAAAGTTCATTAGCTTTTTGTCTGCCAATGAAAAATTTTCTAGTCATTTTACCAGTTAAACAATGTTCACATGGTGGTAATTGAACATTAGATAGTGCATGAAGCAAGTTCATTCTAATAATTTCTTTCAATTTTGAAATACTAGCATGTCCTAGTCTAGAATGCTACAATTAAGACTCAAAAAAACAACAGGACAAGTAATTCGAAATTTCATTATCAGAATTATTTCAAACTATTGGAATAATGCATAATTCATGCTCAGGCACATATATTTCCATAGCATACACTTTATTATTCTTGCCTATAGAAACTCGGTTATTATAGAACCTAACTTCTAGTCCTTTCTTCATCAAGCTGGGAACAGAGATCAGATTGCGCCGAATTTCAGGCACATGGAACACATCTTTAAGAACAAGAATGTTGTCCCCAATATCCAATCTATACAAACCAATAACTTCTACATCGAGATAGGTATTATTTCTCGTATAGATTCTATGTTCTCCTTTCTTCAGCTCGGTGAATTCTGTGACTCCATTCTTGTCCTTTGCGATATGCCTAGTCTCACCGGAGTCGATCCACCAACCGTTAATATATGTCATCACAGCATTGCATTCTATCACACTGACGAATTCTCTTTTGCTAGCACCCCCTTGTTCTAGATGCTTATAGCCTCCTTTATTCTCCTGTTTTTCCCTTGTGGACAATTGGGCTTGAAATGCTCAAACTTTCCACAATTGTAGCAGGCTCCGCGAGGTACTTTTTTTCTTGAACTGATGTGACTTCGCTCCTCGCGGTTATGGTTTATTAGGACCATGATTTTTATAGCTTTCAGTATTATGTCTCTGGCGGACATAATTCAGCTCCTGTTGTACCATATTCAGTTCTGATTCTTTACTACTGGCTATTAAGTCATGTTCTATCGCTAGGTGCATAAGAAGATCAGTGACAGACTTAATTGCAGGGTTCATTCTCAATGTGGTGGCAGCCACAGCAAGGAAAGAGGGTAGACTGTTCAAAATGGTTGTCACTTGCATTCTTTTCGAGATTTCGGTCCTAGCAATGGATAAGTCCTTAGCCGTGACAATCATTTTATTTATATGTTCTACGATATTGTCTCCCTCTTGCATACTACAAGAATTATACTTATGCAAGAGTAGTTAAATGTTAACTTCAGATGTGGTGTCGTATTTTTTTATTGCATTCCACATGTCCATGGAAGTCTTATAAGTTTTAAAAACTTTGATCAAATTATCTTCCATGAACATGAGCATAAGGCTTTTTATCTTTCGACTTTTTATCTTTCGACTTCCACTGTTCAAACCATTTCTTTTCTTCAGGTGTTGATTTATCAGTAAGGGTTGGAGCAGTAGTTTCGATTACATTATCAATATTGTCATGAATAAGAGCATAACCTATTTTTCTATATCACATATCATAATTATTGTCATTAAATTTGTTAATTTTTCCTAGTTCTGATAGAACAAGTTTACTAGCCATTCAGTAAAGAACTAAAACTAAATTCAATTTAAATATATATAAGTTTGGTTAATTGATAATTATACTAAATTAAAATAAAGTAAATTAGATAAAAATATATTAAAATTAAATTTTAAAATAAATCTGACTATTCTAAGTTGAAAGAGGCTCCAATTTGAGTGAGATTGTCACTCAGCCGACCCGGCTTGGATTCTCTGGTACGGGTTCCAAGTGGGCTAGATCATATATATATATATATATATATATATAAATAATATAAGTATATATATACTTTAATTATATGTATACTTATATCATATCATACTATAATTATATACAGTATACATTAGAAATACATATATAAGTATATATAAGTATACATTAATGACTATATTATACTATAGTTATACATAAACAATATATAATATATATAATTAAAACCGGGCCGGGCCGGGTTCAGGCCCGGTCCAAACCCGAACCCCAATTGGACAGCCCTACCATTTTCTCAATAACAGATAAATGTGTGGCCAGCCAATTTGCGCTTGAAAAACATATGAAACCAATAGATACAAAAGTCGGGCATGATTTCTAAGAAGCTCGATAGAATTATGTTGTAAAGCGTACATCCCCAGATTAGTAAGCAAAAGAGGGATTAGAAGACATTTGCCTGCAGCGCGTTATAATTGGCACCTAAGAAATACTTAACCGCTGTAAACCCATAAATACACAGTAAAAGATCCTTACTTACCATGGCAGAGGTTATCACGGCCGAGGACCAATTTACGCATCTGAAGTATAGCTCAATTCTCCTGCAACACATCTTTGATACATTTTACTCAGCCATACAAAGCTTTCCATACAAATTTTCGTAATTGAACTGATGGAACTTGCTGTAATTGATATAAAAAGTACACGGCATTAATTGCTTATATAAGAGCATCTCCAACAGCTTCCCCAAAATTTTCTCCAAAATGGAGAAACAAAAGTCATATTCTCCAAATTATTTTTGCTCCAACTCCAACAGCTTCCCCATTTTGAAAAATCGCATTTATTACAATAATAAAGCTCTCCCCAAAAATTTGAAGAATGCTGCAGATTTGGGAAAACCTCCCTATTTTTTCTCCTCCTTCCCTATTTTGGGGAATGAGATGGGGAATCTGTTGGACCAAAAAAAAGCTCTATATTCTCCAAATTTGAGTATTTCAAGAAGATGGGGAAGCTGTTGGAGATGCTCTAACCCCCCAACTAAACTGGAATCACCATCCTCTCAGATTCACCAAATGACAACTCAGTTTCCTGAGGCAAAGCAAACTTAAAAATAAAAAAAAATAAAAGAAAGAAAAAGAAAGAATCTTTAAACATAACAAAAGCAGAAAAGTAGATTTAAGGAAAGACTGACCTACAAACTATTTAAAACAACACACATACCTTATTTTCCTTAACTAAGGATAGTATATATGTTTCACACGATGTTGACAGTGTTAATGTAGCACACAATATAACAACACCATCCACAACAAAAGTTTCCTCAGACGGCTATATAAAGAACGGGATGGAATGATAAAACCAGTCCTAAGATTAATCTAATAAAACAACCCCTAAAAAATTTCATACGTGAACTGATATACTTGCCTGAATTAATATAATAAGCATCAGATTTTAAAAGTTTATAACCTAAACTGTAATCTAGGTCATCATCAACTTCAGGTCTCAGATTCCAACCAAGAATACTTACTGAGTAGGAACAAGAGAACTGTAAGATGCAAATTTCCACCATTCTGACATTTTTATGTACAATGAAAGGTAAATAATGAAATATAAAACACAAAACCAGTAGAAAAGGAGTTGTCCTCCAACAATAGAAAGTTATATTATATAGCCAAAAAAATTTGCAAGAAAATAACTGATTTCATCAGATAAGGACTAGTATTTATGTTTCATACAAATGTACCAGTTAAATATACTCCCCATCATCCAAACAAAATTCCCTTCTGCCAATTATAGAAACAATATGAAGGAACGGTATAAAGTTGAAAATAATGTCAGTTTACCGGAAATGACCACCGGATCTAATAAAGTCTCTTACGACATCCAGCAGCACCACAATGGCAGGCGAGCTGAACGATACTACCATCAGGTCTGACTACGCTATCAAGTGCATAACCATAGTCATAGCAGAGTTCCTGCAGGAAGTGAAGCAAAATACATTAGAATCAGCTAAGCGCGACATTAAATAAGTGTGAGTGAATGAATCAACCTAAAACAACTGAATCTAAAATAAGGTCTCATTTTATTTTTATTTTATTTTATTTTATTTTTTAATTTCAATTCTTCACATAAGACCCAGTTTTGATCTCGACTACACTGGATGGAGTAAATTGTGTCTTTAGTATGAAATCAAGTATAGTATGTTTAGTTCAGATGCATGCCTGTGAATTAATTAAATCACAATCTCTCAAGTAATGACTCACTGGCCAAAGTAGTACACTTAAAACAATATGATTTACATTATTCAAAGCAACATATTTAAACTACTTTGGTTGCAAATTACAAATTTCATACAATTTTAACACTTTTTTTAATATGTGACATCATGGACAATCAAGAGACTAATACGACTAAGAGATTGCAATCTAACAACATTACTAAACATATACAAGAATTAACCTACAAAATATATTTGATTTTGTTACTAATATTATTCATAACGGCAGTAAAATGATCACCTGCAGGGGCAGGATGGTATCTGCAGCAAATAACATTACTTTTGCCATCCTAATATCATTGTGCGAGCTCAAAACACACTGGACAAAGAGATTAGGTTCACAACTATGGTTGATGAACCGCGCAACATTGCCGACTCGACCAGCATCAAGACAAAAGTCCGCTTCAGCTTTTTTATCATCAAAATTCACCAGTGCTGCTGTATCACCAGGGCGTCTCTGCAAAATAAAAAAGAATAAATTAGTTAACAATTGATAAGAGAAGGAAGACCTATTTAATTATGGACATAAATCATTTAGATGACCTTAAACTGGTTATTCGCGGATATACCCCTATATTATAGGGGGTTTAGCAACACGCCTGCTAAATGGCCTAGCAAGCAACCTTGTCATGTGATGTGACTTTTAAGGTGGACCTCATCACATGGCTATCTGTTAATTTAGCAAAATGAGCCGCCATCTCATATAGAAATGTTAGGGGCACACCCCAAGTCACACCTCCAACCACACCTCCCCCTCTCATTCGCTACAGTACTCCGGGCCCCATATGAGTTTTTAAATTTTAAAAACTCATGTGGGGCCCGGAGTACTGTAGCGAATGAGAGGGGAGGTGTGGTTTGGGGTGTGCCTCTAACACCACTCCCATCTCATATACATCACATGACAAGGTTGGCCTACCAACTCCACTATCTCTTGCTAGGCCATTTAGCAGATGTGTTGCTAAACCCCACACACACGTGGTGTGTCATGTGATTTGACTTTTAGGGTGGACCTCATCACATGGCTATCTCTTAGTAGCTGATTTAGCAAAATAAGTCGTCACCTCATACTCGTACACACACACACACACAAAAGAAACACACACACTTATGTGTATGTGTGTCGCGCGCACATAATCTAAGGTGACGCCTCTTGGTGTATGGTTAGACTATTCTAATGGATAATCTGATCCATTTATCATAATCTAATGTCTCAAAATATCAACAAAACAAAAATCATGATGTTTCAATACTCTTACTATGAATGCACAAATTATTCTCTCTCGTTTTATTCACAACAGGTGCAACCTCGAACTTCCTATCAACGCACTCATTTCTTATCATATCTCTTAGTCTATACCCACTCATTGATCATAGGTTTCTTATTTCTGCTGCACTAATTCTGCAAATGTTTTTGTTAGTTGCCCAACATTCAGATCCATAAAGCACTGTGATGTGAATCTTATAATTGTGTTATAGAAGCTTCCCTTCTATTTCAGAGGTATTCTAATAGGACCCCAGAAGCACTTGTCCACTTTAACCATCGTGATTTGTTTCGATAAACCACATCATCTTAAACTTCACCATCTTGACAAGATAGACTTTTCTCCTCCTAAATGGAGAGACAGAATCTCCTCACTTTTTCCACCATTTGATGTGGTTATTCTATCCACAAAAAGTAGTTCAGTATCATCTCAACTGTTATGGAATGATGTTATAGTCTCCTATATTCCTATGTATATGGAAAACAATTAAGCACAATGTGGAAAATCAGTTTGCAAAATGAGCTAGTAAAAGATATGCTAGTGGTCAGGCTATCCCGTTAATCACATTGAATAGAAATCTTTTTATTGGAAACAAGTAGAGAATATCAATATTTAAGTGAAACAGATAGCAAAAAATGGAGTTCAGCATGCCTATATGTTAACAAGAAATACGATGGCATGTCCCAAGCGATATATTTCTGCAAATAAATATTAACTACAATCCACAGCTTCATTAAGATTAACTAACTGATCTCTTCATACAATTTGTTAAACTTAAAGAGTTGAATTAAGCAATCGTCTGCTAAATGTAGCATTCATAAGAACCCAACGCATAAGAGGTGTATATCCGACTGCATGTCATAGTCAGATACACATCAAGTATTGGTGTGGTGCTTTGTTCAAGTAGCAGAGCATCATAACTCGTGCTATGTTTATTGGAAGAGAGAAAGTGAAGAAAATTAACTACCCCCATAGGGTACACACAAACCATGTAACAAAACCTCAAACAGACAGGCAGCTATATTTTTAATTCAAAAAAAAATTAAGAGGGGGATATTCATCTACAAAACCATTAAATTTCAGAAAGCAGGATACCTCTCGCGTAACTAAATGCCTTATCAAACTAAAAATATTTTAAATCAGAAAATATAAATACCACGAGAGTATTGCAAAAATGAGGGTGAAATATTGATGTCACACCTCTCTTCCATCAAGCCCTTTCATTGTTTGAAGGCAGTCAATGTCAAAAATGTAGTTATTCTCCAAGTCGGCGTCAACCTCATCTGTCCTTCTAAGTATCCCAGTGTACTCACAGACAGGTGCACCTGACGGAATAGTATCCCATGATCGAACAGCCCAACCCTTGTTCGCAGTACGAAACACCTGCAGAGAGCAGAAATCAGATCTTATAAATTTGTGTGCTATTTTTCATTATGATGCAACATGCACTCCGGTGGTAGTTGTCTTTTGCTCTGTCTCTCACTCGTTTTTTTAGGATTCACACCTCAAGGCGGTATTTTAGTCCTTTTTGTGATGTTCTATTGACACAGGAAGCATTGCATCCGCAGCTTGGCCCACATTCAAACACGACAGATTTAGCTTCAATCAATCTGCAAAAGACCATGAAGAACAAAAATATGATCAGCACTAAGATTTAGTATGTGAAAATGATGAAACTTCGGACAAGTTTGGCAATGCTGGAGTTTAAGATGCTTAGAGAAGAAACTTATATAAGTTGCCAAAAATAGCCGTTTGAAAATCATATACCATAAGTTGCTTCCAAAATTAGTCAACGTGCTTGGTAATAATGTATTTAAAGATTTATAAATGAAATTTCCAAAATAAATATAAGTTTATCTGCCTATTTATGGGGACAGATAAGGTACTACTGTCAAAAACTAAAGGGTATATATGGTATAAAAACTACAAAAAGCGGAAGCTGCTTCAGGTTTGCTTCTAAAAGTGGTCCCTTATCAATAAGCATGCAAAAAGAGTTTTACCAAACACAATTAGTGGCCGATTCCAGTAGTTATCGAGGCGCAAGGCGCAATGCGGGGCACAAAGGCCCCTTACGCGCACCATGCGCAAGGCGCACAACGATACGCGCGCCTCATTGAATTGAGGCGCACAACTCAAACTAATATTTTTCAACATAAGACAAAGAAGCATATAAGCAACATGTTTATAAATTGTCACATAAAAAGACTAAGAAATATATTTTCACCTACTAAATCACGAAAGAGTCTTAATTAGCATGCATAACATAGAGAAGTTCATAAGTTTTCACAAATCACAATGCGAGATAATCTCCAACATAATCAGAAGTGTATGAAACAAAACAAGCAAGTAACAAATAAGAATATATGTATTTTTATTTAAAATATGATATATGTATTTTTAAGTAACAATTAAGTGATTAACAAACATGACATGATATATGTATTTTTAAGTAACAATTAAGTGATTAACAAACATGACTATTCATAATTTTCTAGTTAGTATTCTTAATTGCTATTTGCTAGTTAGCATGAAAAGATGGAGAATGGAGGTAACAATTACATATTTACATGTTCATAAATTTCTAGTTAACATGCTAATTAGAGAAGGAAGTTACAATTAGCAAACAAGTATACTAAATTACTAATTACTGTTTCTTTTTTATAGGTTAAACATGAAAAGATGGAGTATGGATTATCAACTAGCAAGAAAGAGTCTATTACATGATGTAAATATGTAAATTATTTAAAAAATAAAAAAGAGTCTATTACATGATGCAGGTGTCAAGCGCACACGAGGCGCGCGCTATGTCAAGCGCACACTCGCGCGCGTGAGGCGCACACTCGCGCGTGCCTCATATGCGTGCAGCGCCCCCCGCATCTAGTGCGGGGCGAAATTGTCCCAACCCGCAACGCCTCGCGCCAGGGGCGCACGTCTCGATAACAATCTGATTCTTTAAAAAAAAGTAGAAGAAGCCTACAGAAAACAATACCAGCTGGAATACTACAAAGTAAAGAAAAGTAGAAGAAGCCTACAGAAGACAATACCAGCTGGCCCTTAGAATACTACAAAGTACAAACTAAAAACACACGATGCTCTCAATAACTGGACCAGGGGTAGCCGGTACCTAGGTATCAGTATTTAGTAATTAAACACGGGCTTCTAAAAATCCACATTTAGTAGTAAATACCATCAAGAAGAAGAAACTTAGATGACCAGAACAGAGTCAGTTGATAATAAATGCAAGCAACAGATAAAACCTTAAAACAGATAAGGTTGCGTTGCAGTATCCAACAAAACTTTGCAAATTCACATCATAATCAGGATAATTCTGCTAACTGTGACAAAACAATAAGCTTCAAAGATAAGGCAACTCTTTTGGGTGAGAGGGGAATCAATTCTTAAAACCAAATTAAACCACATGGGAAGGTATGATCCTACGGACGTTAACAACAATACATAAAAGGACTAGAAACTTCACTAATGCCAGTAAAAGTTGAACAGTCACAATTAGATAACAGTTACTTCTACACATTTAAAAATGTTTCTTGTTCACGTTTTTTAGAAGAGGTAACATATAAAAAGCAGATAATAATAAAAATAACATAAATAGGGATAAAATGTACCTTCCACCATCCTTACGCACATAAGGAAAATCTCCACCATTGAGCTTAGCACACGAACATATTCTTGGGTCACCACATTCTCCTTTACACTTGCATCCAGCAGCATTTGTGGGAAGCTTTAAATTCTTTGCCAAACGAATAGCTTTACTGTACTCAAAATCTAAAAACAATAGTCGATATACCACAAGGAAAAAACAGTTTCAGCCATAATAAAGAGACTTTTCAGATATAATCAAATAGTAAAGAAGCAAAATAACTCTCAGGATTAAAGCTGTCCCAACTCTCATGAATTAAATCACATGTCTCGGAAATCAAAAGCAGCTGCTATATAAAGAAAGATGCACAAATACGGTTCCTCATGAATGCTTTAAGAATTGTGTATCATATAGCCCAATTAAAATATTTTAAGATTATACCATCGGTTAGATTACTTCAACACTTGGTAATATTTATTACTAATTCACTGAAGTGAACAGATAAAGGATGTATGGCAAACTAGAATAATTGAACCTTACACAAGAAAATGAAAATAAAACCAGTTAAATTTTGTTAGAAGAAGAGTGTATTAGTTTAATCTCACATTGCTTGTGAGACTAACTTGTAACTAATCCATCTCTATCAATAAAGTATAAAGTGAGGGGATAACTCTCCTATAATCATTTTTCACTTCAAACATTAACATGGTATCAGAGCCTCCTAAACCCTAAACCCTAATTCCCGCCGCCATTTGTTCTAACTCTAACCCTAATTCCTAAACCCTAGCCGCCGTCTCTCCTCTCTCTTGAAACCCTAGCCGCCTCCTCTCCTCTTTCCGCCTCCTCTCCTCTCTCGAAACCTAGCCGCCAAAGATCAAATCCGTCGCTGCCTGATTCGTCCGCCACCGCCGTCACTTGTTTTATTCGTTGTCATTTGCTTCCTTGACAACTTGGATATCTTACCTTGCTTGGTGTTTCCTCGAGTTCAAACTTGGATTTAATCTTGAGAAGAGTGTTTATCTTACCTTGCTAAGATATTCACTTCAGTTCTTGTTTCCACAATCAAAACATCAACGTTAAACCTCCTTCACGTCCGACTCGGATCGTTGAATCGGTGGTCCACGGAGGAAACTCCAGATCCAGATCCACTTCACCGATCCGATCTTCCTTGACAACTCCATCCGCTGTCGATGATCGTCGTTGTCATGTCCCTTTGTTTTCGGATCTGACTTAAGACCTGGGAATTGTTATCCAACAAAAAAACAAAAAAAAATACGGGTTCTTGAACTTTAACCTTCAGGTTTCATGTTAACTTTCGGATTATTGCATTTTAACATTCAGGTTCTTGTATGTTAACCTTCAGGTTCTTGCATTGTTAGCCTTTGGGTTCTTGTACTTGCTCAACTTGTGGAGAGTATCATCTTGATCTCTACTCGTTTGTTTCGTGATGGCCGGATCTGAGGGACTCAAAAATTCTGAGTTAGCGATCCAGACAAAAGTTTCAAAGATATTTTCTGGTAGAATCACTGACCGGAAACTTGATGGAATTAACTATTTCTAGTGGAAACGTGTTATTAAAAGCTACGTGGCAGGTCGAGACAAAACTGACCATTTATTGACGAACCCTCCTACTCCGACACTGGAGTCTTGGACATTAGATGATAGTGTCCTCTTACATCAGATTATTAATAGTATGGAGCCTAAAATTCAGGATTTAGTCCTTCATTGTATGCTAGTAAAGTAACTTTGGTGTTTCTTACAAGATCTCTATGAGGGTAGCAGTAATATTAATCAAGCATATGAAGTTATTCAAGAACTGTTTCGTAAGAAACAGGATGGTAAACCCATAGATGATCATTATGGTGAGTTCAATCGTCTGGCTGAGGAACTTAGTCAGATTTTTTCTATTATTGGGATATAAAATAGATGCAAAACCAATAAAACAAACTTATGGTACTCACCTATTTGGGTACCCTAGATTCCATTTACTCCTCTGCTCGATCACAAATCATGAGGAGTTCCGCCATTGGTTCTATGGCTGAGATTTATCACTTTTTGAAGAACGACGTCCCTGCACAGCCACTTACATCCATCGCGGATCGCTCTGCGCTTGCCACTCAGAATTAGCAGTCTTATGGACGAGGTCATATTGATGGTCCTGAAAGAGGTAGAGGCAACTTTGAAGGGAGAGTAGGTTACCACACTGATCGTTCTGGGGGCCGAGGTGGTCAACAAGGTGGTCGTGGAAATTCATCTCAAGGCAGACATACTAACGACGATGACTTAGTGGATACTTGTAACTACTGTCATCAATCAGGACATCTCAAATATAATTATCCTGAATTGGAAAAGAATAAGACCAATAGTGCTTACATGGCCGCTTAGGACAACTTCACCTCATCTGATAGTGAAAGTCAACTACAGTCAGTCTTTCAGAATGCGGAGCTGCAGCGTTAATTTCAATAATTTTAATTATTCCAACAGTACCAAAGTTCACAACCATCCTCCTCCTTTTTATCCACTACTCTCAAAAGTGCAAGTACCTCTTTATCTTTACTTACATCGTTTTCGTCTTATACTAGGATTATAGATACATGTGTCACTCATCATATGACTGGGAATCAAGGTATCCTAATCTCTTTCTTTCCTACATCTAATTCAGTTATATTAGCTGATGGTTCACATAAACCTATTCAGGGTGTCGGCAATACCAATCCTACACCTAGTCTCCCCCTTTCTCTTATTCTATCATCTTAGTTTTTCCTATAACCTTTTATCTGTTAGTAATATTACTAAATTACTAAACTGTATTGTGACATTCTTTCCCATACATTGTCTTTCAGGATCTGGTCACGAGGAAAATGATTGGGACATGGCATGAGCAGAACGATCATTATAAACTAGACTTGGGCGCCAAACATTTATCTTGTATCGGAAACTCATCAGCTCTACAATACTATTGTCAACTAGGATATCCCTCTCTCTTTGTTCTCAAGCTTCTAAATCCCCAGTTCAAATCTCTTTCCTCTTCAGAGTGAGTCATGTCAACTTGGCAAACACCATAGTGTATCTTATCCTAATCGAGTCAATAAGAGGGCTGCAAAGCCATTTAATCTTATTCATTCTGATGTATGGGGATCATGCCCAATAACTTTTAAATTAGGATTCCGGTACTTTGTCAGTTTTGTGGATGATCACTCTCGTATTGCTTGGATTTATCTTCTCAAGTCTAGGTCTGAAGTTTTTTTTACATTTAAACTCTTTTATTCTGAAATAGTCATCAATTCAAGACTTTGATAAAAAAATCGATCTGATAATGCAAAGTAATATTTAGATGGCAACTTCATTAGTTTCCTTGAACAATATGGAATTCTGCATCGGTCTTCTTGTGTTTACACTCCTCAATAAAATGGAATTGTTGAACGAAAGAATAGACATCTCCTTGATATTGCTCGAACCTTACAATTTCATCGTCATGTTCCCAAAGAGTTTTGGTGGGAAGCTATCCTAACAGCATGTTACTTGATTAATTGAATGCCCTCTTCTGTTCTACAAGATAAAATTTCTTTTAAAGTTCTATATCCTAATGATTATCTCTTTTCGCTTCCTCCAAAGATTTTTGGCTCTCTGTGTTTTGTTCATAATCACAATCCAAACAAATAAAAATTTGACTTTCGATCTATTAACGGTATTTTTCTTGGCTACTCCCGAAAATATAAATGTTACAAATGTTTGTCCATCACTCAATCATCTTGTGTTATCTGTTGGTGCAACATTCTTTGAAGATAAACCTGGTTATTATAGTTCTCCAACTTCATTATCATCGAATGAGTATGACTATTTAATCCTACAAGAGTCATTGGTTAACAGTGGTGGTTCATCCACTGACAATACTATTTACACTACTGGCAAAGATTCAGCTCGATTTAACGACCCAATTCAAATTTATCATCGTCGCTCTGCTCCTACTCCTAAGCCAACGTCGGCCTCAACACAAAGTCCTCCGCCAGAAGAACCAGAATCAGTAAGTGTAAATTTATTCCCTTCTGCGGAAGACCTTCCTATTGCACTTCGAAAAGGACACGAACTAGTACTCAACATCTTATTTCTAACTTTGTCTCTTATGATCGATCTCCTTCACCTTTCGATCTTTTGCTACTTCCCTCGACTCATATTTGGTTTCCAAGAATGTGTCAGAAGCCCTGTCTATCTAAGGTTAGAACCAAACAATGCAAGACGAAATGAGGGCCTTACGACAGAATAAGACTTAGAATTTTGTCCTACTTCCATCAGGAAAGCGGTCCGTCGGCTGCAAGTGGGTGTACACTGTCAAATTGAATACTAATGGAACTTTAGAACGCCTGAAAACCCGACTGGTTGCTAAAGGCTATTCGCAGGTGTATAGCTTAGATTACTTAAATACCTTCTCTCCAGTAGTAAAAAATGATATCTGTTCGGATTTTTCTCTCATTAGCAGCGACAAATCACTGGCCACTTCAACAGTTGGACATCAAGAATGCATTTTTTAATGGCATTCTACATGAGGTTTACATGGAACAACCACTAGGTTTTGTTGCTCAGTGACAGAATGCGAAGGTGTAGCTAAAGAAATCAATTTATGGTCTGAAGCAATCTCTGAGAGCCTGGTTTGGACATTTTGCATCAGTTATTCAGGAATTTGGGCTCTGTCGTGCACAGAAAGATCACTCTGTCTTTTGGCGATTTCAGAATGGGAAACAAATTCTGCTTGTTGTCTATGTGGATGATATTGTAATTACAGGGGATGATGCTTCTGGTATTGACAACCTGAAGAAGTATTTACAGACACATTTCCAAACCAAAGATCTTGGTTCCCTAAAATACTTCCTAGGTATTGAAGTTGCAAAGTCAACGAAGGGTATTATTCTGTCACAAAGAAAGTACATATTGGATATGCTTTCAAAAACTGGGATGTTAGGATGCAGAAGCAGTGATTCTTCAATGAATGTGAACTCAAAACTACTAACAGATCAGGGGGAGCTTCTTGAATATATTGGACAATATAGAAGATTGGTAGGGCAACTGAATTATCTGACGGTGACCAGACCTGACATCACATTCGCAGTCAGTGTTGTGAGTCAGTTCTTGTCCGCACCAAGATCTACTCACTTGGATGCAGTAATAAAAATTTTAAGGTACTTAAAGAAGACTCCGGGACGAGGAATTCTCTACTCAGATCAAGGACGTACCAGAGTTGCAGGTTTTTCTGATGCAGATTGGACTGGATGTCCTTTTGATAGGAGATCAACTACTGGATATTATGTCTTTCTCGAAGAAAATCTAGTGTCATGGAAAAATAAGAAGCAAAGTGTTGTATCTCGATCCAATGCAGAATCAGAATACAGAGCTATGACAAATGTGACACTAGAGATGGTTTGAATCAGAGACCTATTGACAAAAATTAATCTCCCTCTAGAATGTCTCATGGATCTATATGACGACAATAAAACAACAATTCACATTGCTGAGAATCTCCTGTTTCATGAAAGAACCAAGCACATTGAAGTCAACTGTCATATAGTCCGCAAGAAACTCGACGATAAAATCATCACGGTAAAATATGTATCGACAGTAGATCAATTGGCAAACATTCTTATAAAACCACTTGGTCGAACAAGGGTTGACTTTATTTGTGACAAACTGAGCATACATGATATATATACTCCAGCTTGAGAAGGAGTGTTAGAAGAAGAGAGTATTAGTTTAGTCTCACATTGCTTGTGAGACTAACTTGTAACTAATCCATTAGAAGAAGAGAGTATTAGTTTAGTCTCACATTGCTTGTGAGACTAACTTGTAACTAATCCATCTCTATAAATAAAGTATAGAGTTTAGTTTAGTCTCACATTGCTTGTGAGACTAACTTGTAACTAATCCATCTCTATAAATAAAGTATAGAGCAAACATTAACAAAATTATAATTTGATGTATTATAGTGATATCTGCTATGACACAGCTATGTAGAGAAAGCAGCCACACTGTTTTAAATGTGTAAAAGATATGCATATACTGAATAAAACGAGAACATGCTAAATTCACATGGATTTATCAGTCATTGATACTTCCTTTGATGTGTTACCATTAAAGATCCATATGCAAAATATGCAAAGGATTGAAAGAAAAAAATCAAACAATTCATTATATTATTTGCATCAAGTTATTTGTAATGTCTTGATTATTAACAAATATGTAATATGTAATTATTCTAAAAGTGGTAATTAAATCAAAAATAAAAGTTATAATTTATTAAATATATATTTTAGTGCATACGAGCATACCGATGTTACAGAAACCACTAGGCGGACTAGGCGTTTAAGTCAGCGCCTAGCGCTCGGATACCTAGGTGTACACTTAGGTGGCACCTAAGCGTTTGGCTATTTTTAAATTTAATTAATTATAATAGTTGATTAAAATACATTTTCAATTCACATAAATTTGAAAAAGAAAAAGATAGCAATCTTAGATACACAATAAATCATGCATACTTAAATACTAAATAGCCAAAATAATAACTAACAATATCGCCTAGGCGTTAGATCTGACACCTAGAGCCTAAGAAGTTTTCTTTTTTAATTTTTAATTACAATAATTGATAGTAAATGTAATTGTTATAAAACGCTTAGGTGTCGCCCTGGTGTCTAAGTGGATTTCTTTCTTCATTCAAGTGGTGGTCAAGGAGGTTTTGTTGAAGGTCAGAGGAGGTAGTGAAGGTGTTCATATTTAGGGATAAAGGAGTTTGAAAGAGGTCGAAGGACGTGAAGACTACAACACAGAAAATCACGATCAATGTTTAAAGGGTGCAGTCCATATAAATAGACAATGCTCCCCTAAATACTCCCAAAATCTAGGTGGGCAATCTAGGTAATGCCCATGCGCTAGGTGCTAGTTATGCGGCCTAGGTAGTAGGTACTGCTTCAAGTCTAGACGTACGCCTAGACAGACTAGGCAGAGGCTTTTTAAAACCGTGAGCATACACATAATTCAGCCATTTCTATATGATAGCCCAATACCCAATGGTCAACATTTACAATTTGCACTGTATATTTTGATGTCATTTCAAAAATGATAATTACATATATCATAGTTGCCTGAAGGAATTCCTTTCGTGCCAAAAAATGTCTGAAAGACTAGAAAGAAATTCAGAACAAAAATTATGCAACAAGATGGCCTTTATGCTAAACTTTTGGCATGGGTTACATGAATCTTATTGTTTCATTTTGTTCTATTATGATTCATCTTCATTAAGTTAACTACTCGCATGTCCTTTCTTAATTTGTTCCAACCAAGTTCTTTTAGGTCTACCTACAATACTCTTTTTCCACTAATTGTAATCTCATTACTTCACCTAACTTGTGCATTTAGTGACCTCTATTGTACAAGACCAAACAATCTCCACCAACCTGACAAATATTGTGCATAATTATACAAGCAACGATTCTTACACTACAACATTAATCTCCAGTGACCCAACGAATTAACCATACATACCTGTGGGAGCAAAAGGTGGATCATCGACAACATTAGAAGCTGGAATTTGCATGTTTTCTTGACCACCACTAATATCTTCACATACCAACCTACAAAAAAAAATGTTAAGCTCTATAGAGATAATATAAAAATAGTAGAAAAATTGCTCAACTAACACCCATTAGGGCACAAGGAGCATATAACAAGGGCAAGGTTCATGGTTCATACAGTGGAGCGATGAGATGATGAATTCATGTTGCTGAAGTTCCAAATAGTTTTTCTTTTACGAAAATTTTTAAGAAAATATTATCCCACCGAAATATATACTTTATGAATGCTAAGCCAAAAGGCGAAAGATACGTAGTAAATTTGCCAACCTATACAAGGCGAAAGATTGGCGTCCAACATAGCAACACATTAACAACTTATATTGTAAACAAATAATAAAAGATTACCCATAGTCATTAACGAAGAAAAAATATACTTAGCAACACATTAACAACTTATATTGTAAACAAATAATAAAAGATTACCCATAGTCATTAACGAAGAAAAAATATACTTAGCAAATAATAATATTACATCATTTCAAGCAATTGAAATCATTCATGTAATTTGACAACCTATACAAGGATGGATGGAAGATGTAAACATTGAACAAGATTTAGGACCAATAATGTCCAATCCCTTGTAACAATCATTAAACAATAGCAACTATAGTCAGGTAGTTGTAGTCACCAACAAATGAAGAATTCATCACTACAATGAGACAAAAAATCAACAAAGCCGATATAAGCACATTAAACCGACATAATGATTCAAAGACATTGCCTAAACACTGGTTAACAATACAAAATTTCTTGCAAACGCTAAAGGTAGAGTGTACTAATCAAGTTTATAATGAGATATTCACCCATTTCCCTATGATCTCAAAAGTTCACACTCACAAATTGAAGCTTCAAATACTTTTAGTCACATATTTTGTCTTATATTATACATTGTTTCTGTCCCCTAATTCCAACTAGAAATATAACAAGAAGAAAGCCTTTATCCGAAAATTTGAGGGTCAAATATCTGAATACTTTTTTTCATTTCTACAATGAATATCCTCTGTTAGGACACCCTTATATTATCATTCTTGATTACCCCATCAAAGTTCTCTTTAAGTATCCTCTTCACTCCATTGATTATAGTCCTATCACTTACCCTAATTGGTGCATTTATGGCCTTTATTGCTTAAGCCTACACCATGTAAGTCGACCTTCCCTCGCATTATCCTCAAGTAAAGGCCCTGCAACAATCTCAAGTATCCACTCATCCATAATTGCATTCTTATTTCTCTTAAACTTTTCCGGATATATTATTTCTCAACTGCCAACATTCTAATTCATAACACATTCCCCCATCTTAATTATGCTGCCTTAATAACAGCAAATAAGCATTTCCAAAGTTCAGTACGAGAAACAAACATGACAGGCTCGCCCTGTGCTTCCACGTCGTATAAGCAATGAATACAGGTCTAAGTCCACAAATTAGCTTCATCTGTAAAAGGGCATGATTTAAAGGATGTGCATTGATTGAAGAGTGTGATATAGTTTCTACGAATTTCATGTTCTTCATGATCATTGACTTAAGTAGTCATAGTAGTATTAGGAGTAAACACACTAGTAGTATGTGTTAACAGTAAGAAAACAAACAAATCATTTGCAGGATTGGGAAGTAAAACAAGTTCTATAAAGATCCAGCTCATAAACTGTAAATACAGAACTTAAGAAAACAATTAAGGAGATGGTTATAGAACATCTTTCATTTTGCGGTGAAAAATCAAGATGTAGGATCCCCTTCTACATATTTTGCAAACTCTAACATAAATAAGATAAAAGCCAATTATTTATAGCAATCTTCACCTTAAAGAAGCTGAAAGAGAGTTTTGACAAATCTTATATGACATTTTTAGTACACTTGGAGACACAAAAATCTAAATAAATTTTAACATGATTGTTAGAGTTGATTTTAGAGAGAGAAAATTAGAACTTAACAATGTCCCTTACCCACGCAATTCAGAAATTTTCTGAGGAGCTTGCTCCCTAGTAAATCTAACCTGCATTTAAAGAACAGCCAACATTAATACATAAATTTTAGAAATTATAACATTCTTATGTGCAAGATATCAAATGTTTAATTATTTGGGTAATTGGGTAAATATCCATACCCGCTTATGCGGCTGTTCTAATCTCTATATAGGAGAGATTAGGGTTAGGTGGAATAATGATTTTGCTTTTTTATTTCATTACATGGTGTCAGAGCATACTTCTCGGCCTAAAGAACTTCTCCCCTCTTTGGAGACGTTGAGAGAATTTTGTCGCAAGCGCTACCATCATGCTTCCCCTTGGCAGCTTTGATTTGGTCGATTTAATCCCTTACCAAAAAAAACCCTAACCTCCAAAATCTTGTTCAAAAACTTTTAACTCTAAAAACCTTAACCAATGTTACTCTTCACACAAACAATACCCGAGGGTACTATACATCATGTGAACAGCAACGGATTACTTTTCACCGTGAACAGTACTACTTACTCATCGTTTGGCATGGCCTTTTCTCGATCAATGACGCACCGATTCCTTTAATCGATGATTTTTGTCTCCGAAGCTCGCCCGAAATCTACTAGCTAACCCCCGTAGGATTTCTTCTGATGGACCAGCCTAGAGTTTCTATTCTGATTTGCTTAGGATTTCTACCGGCTGACCTATTTAGGGTTTCTACTTTCTACATGCTAACCCGCCTAGTGTTTTTTCTAGCATCGATATGAATTTATAATATTGGATTCCTATGTCGAGGGACTCCTACTAATGATCTAGCTATCTACTACTACTTTGGTTCTCTACCATTGTCATCACAAAAGCAAGGATTTTCTTCGGGTCTCTACGACTTTATTATGCCTTTTCTGTTTGAGTTATCTCTGTTTACGAATATAATTTTATGAATGTTATGCTTTTCTGACTGCTTCATCAAAGCTCTTTCATCTAGTTATCTTGTTTTTATGTGTAACAAGCTAAGATCATTTTTGAGATACATGCTTCAGCTTGAGATGGAGTGCCAGATATTAAATACTTAGTTATTTAGATTGGTCAATATCCATACATGCTTATGTAGCTCTCCTAATCTCTATTTACGAGAGATTAGGTTTACATAGTATAATAACTTTGCCTTTTCTAGTTCTCAACATTATGATCACAATTCTCATTATTTTTATCAATAGTTAACAGATTAAACGACAAAAAGTGAATAACTAAAATCCGTTACTATTGGATAATGGACTATTTGATAACAAAGCATCAATCGGTACAAAAATCATTACAACGATGAATTGTGCCCATAACAAGTTTAGCAATGACCTTCCAAACAAAATTTTGAAATTTGTTACTTGCATAGGAGATCATCCGGGTGTATTATCACATTCAGAATGTAGTAAACTTGATTAATAAATTAGAGTTGGACTATTATGCTCTCTGGAAGAGAGGAGATCATATATGTATCCGTTAGATTCAATTTTTGATGCCTACGATGAATTCAATCAAATCAAATAAAACTTGATAACAAAGGGCAATTTATTCTCTATAAAATATGAACATATAGATAGTACTAGACCATGTTTCATCTTTCCTCTCTCAAGATTTCAATTCAGTTCTGATATTTTATTATTTGCATAACTTTGGTCTTAAGGATTATTTGTTTTAGATTGGAAATCAAAGACTGGTGGATTCCGTAACTTTCCTTTCATGAATTATCTTATTCAACTTTGTTTCCATGAGAAAAATGTAAATCGCTTCGATGGACACTCAGTAAAATGCCCATCTTTTCAATTTGCAACATGACATGGCAGTGAAATGCAACTTAAATATGTTAAAAACCTTTAAATTGTGGAAGCAACCAAAAGATAACTCACATGATTCTCATCGATCAATAAATTTCATAGGTTTTGTCATTTGGTATAATGAAAACAAACCAACATAAAAAAATAAGATGGTTAATCAAAGAGGTGAGGTAAAAATGGAAAAAAGAAAAGCAGCCCCCAACATATACGGATTTTATGGAAATATTAGAATGGAATTGCCTTTGATTTGAGAGAGAAAAGAAGGAAACATATCTAGTTATCAAGATTTTATGGAATATCAAGACGTAATTACCTTTTATTGCTAAATCTTCTTTGATCTTTTATAACACATCTTAGACATTTGATGTCGAATTTAACGGCTACAAAAGTGGGACGAGGAGATTCCGTCTCCTCCCAAAAGCATAATAGTCCAACTCTATAAAGTAACCTTCTGATCAAGGCAAAAGTTGGTACTATTCCTCAAAAGTCATATTTCTTCTCTTAAAAAGATATCACTATTTTCGCTATCTTGTAAGCCTCTTACAGTAAATAGCCACAGACGTTGATACACATGTAAACAAACAACAAAGAGAGTAGTCAATAAGACATAATTTGATAATGACACATAGCCAGTGTAAAACATAGGACTGGGATTGGATCAATTATCATGTGATCCTAGGATTGGTACCAACCTAGGATTGGGATCTAGACTTGGTACGCTACATGGGTACTAATCAGTCCCTAGTCACCCTTTGGTATGGACGTATCCTATTCCCACCCATAATCCTAACCCCTCTTGCCTTAGAACAAAACAATTTCCCTAAATCCCATCGAGCTCTTCGAACGAAACCTCAGACCTCGTCTCTTCGAACGACCAGTCCTAAATCTCCTTCTTCTCTTTGAACAACAAGCCCTAACCCTCTCTTGATCTCAATCTTACCTTTCATCATTGATCTAAATTGCTAATAGATTTAAGTGCATATGATTTACACACAGATGCATGTTTTGTCTTTCACAGACAAGGTGATGAGAAAGCATAAAAAGTTCAAGCAGTTATGCCAGATTGTCATTCATAAAATAGTCCTGAGAGTTCTACTACAGAAAATCTAATAAACTAGGGATAGAAATCTTCCTTTCAAGAAAAAAAATGCTTATGAAACTTTCAGCAATGCAACAAAAGCACTATAAATGAACAAGAATAAAGTAAACAATATTTGTATTTCATAAGCATAAAAAAGTATTTCAAAAACAAACAAAACCTGGTTTGTAGTTAGACTCGGTTGGCCAGTGATGCGCTTTAACCTATACTTGTACACAGTGAATCCCGCTGCACCTTTCTCCGCCCAAGTTTTTACCACCTATACAATAAAGAAAAGAGTTCAATATATGGCTAATAAATGACATTATAGCTTTAACAAACATTTATTACACTAAGTGTACACTTAGCAATAATAAACCTGAAATGGAAAAGAAAATATTAATGAGTGATTACATAGAAGATAATAGCATGCAACATCAGAGGAAAGAACTGAAAATTAGATTTAATATTTTCATAAATGTTAAAATTTTCAGGTTATTGTATATATGCCTTGGGAATACTTTGGAGACAATAAGACTTAACTCAAATTACTCACACATGAAGCAATCAGCTGAATGGAATTTATAACTATAATAACATAAGAAAATTTCTTCACTGCATAGATAACAACAAACTTGAGTAGTACATACACATTTTGCACATACACATTTTGCATGTTATATAAATCTTAAATACTAAATTGGGGAAAGCTAAAAAAAAGTAGTAGTAGTTATTTTGAATAATAAGGAGAATAAGAGGAAGAACACTGCAATAATGGTAGTGGCAACAACTTTAGTCAGAGGAAGCAATAGGAAGAGAAAGGAGTAGTGAAATCAAAAATAGAATCAATAGATAGCAAAAATTGTAATCTAATTTAAAAAGTCGCGATACTAGACGGAATTACCTGTGTTCCACTTCCGAGACCTTGTTCATGACAACCACCATAGAAGGCAATCCAGGCAGCTACTGGTATGAAGATGAAACGATCAAAGGCAGGTGTCAAAGGGGGTCGTGCAAGGAGTCAACTCAATGATGCCAAAAGGGCTGATGGGTCAATCAATTAGGGTGCAAATGCCTTTGTTAATTGAATTGAACCGCTTGTTTAAGAGGGCTCAAACCAAGTAACAAACCCATGTTTAATATTGGTGGTCAATCAAGATGCTAATAAATAGAGCAGGCCGCCTTCATAACCAAGAACACCAAGGTTACACAAATGAAGCAGGCCAACCTCCTCAACGGAACAAAAAAAACCCAGTCAACCCCAAGGCATAATTGGAGGCATTTAGGCAAAAGCAGTCTAGATCCGCTAAAATAGAACAGGCTGTCTACAGAACCAAAAACGCTAAGGTTACTCTGGTAAAACGTAATGAACAAGACAACCTCCTTAGCAGGCCAGAAAAAGCTTAGACATACCCAATGCATAATTAGAGGCACTAAGGGTAACTTTAAGCAGTCTAGTGCTGCTATCAGCTAGGCAAACACTTAGGTAAAACTTCCATAATACTTTTCAAAACACCAATACCTAGCTGTTTCAGTTGGCCGCATCGGTTATCATGATTAAAAAGTTGTCTAACGATGCTTTCAGTAATTTTTCAAACCTATTATTCAGGATTGTGGCCATTTAGACTTCTATGCTAGTTTTCAAACTTTTTCTTCAGAATTTTAGTGGTTTACACTTATACATATACGAGTGAGGTAGTTTGGCTGCAGATAACCAAATATTAGTGATCAGTCCACGTTTATTCCCCTGGAAGAACAGTAATCAGAACAGAAAGGCTGTGTAGCCATTTGACACGAAGCTGAAACAACATACAAAAATGAAAAAACAGTCACGATGGCCGTGGCAGGAAATCTCAATACAAAGTAAAAGTCGAACCTTGTACAAGCCATCATAGGTGTACACTTTCCCACAATAGCTGCTTCGTGATTCGTGACCACGAACCACTCTAACAGGAACACCGGTATCATGGTTATTCTGAAAACGAGATAAGAGGTGTCACCATTTAATGATACCACACCAAACAGACAAGATTCAACTACAAAATAACAAACCTGTTTCAATTTGTTGTATCTATATAAATATGAAAGCAACAATATATGCCATAAAAAATAACATTTCAGATGTGTAAAGTTGCAAACAATGATGAGTTGGCGCTGATTATACAAAATTTATATTTGTAAAAAGCACATTATTTTAGCCATAAAAGTAACAGTTTAATGTGAAAAGTTGTAAACAAAGATGAGGTGCGCTAATTGTTGGGGGAGAATTTTTTAAAAAAGACCATTTTTAAAATATAATTAGCAAAATCAACATTTTCCCTAAATAATGAGCAAAATCGACCTCTTTTAGCCAAGTCATCAAGGCTGGGCAAAAAGAGGTCAATTTTGAAAGAAAAAAATCATCTTTAAATTACACAGGACTACTAGTCCCGTGTAATTAGCAATTACTAATTATGAAACTGATTAGGCTCAGAATATACAAGGAACTATTAGTCTCGTGTATTCATTCCTTTTTTTATCTCAACCACCATTACCCCTCTTCCTGCCTCCTCTTCTCCTCAATCTCCTCCAGGGCGGTGGTCGAGGGCAAGGGCTGTGGTAGGAGCGCGACGGCGGTGGTCGAAGGTCGAGGGAGCCTCGAGAGTGAGGGCAGTGGTCAAGGGAGCCTCGAGGGCAAAGGCAAGGTTGGCCTTGAGGGCGAAGGCAAGGTTGGCCTTTAGGACAGTGGTCAAGGGCTAGGGTCAAGGGCAAGGGCGGTGGTCGAGGGCAGCCTCGAGGGCAGTGGTCGAGGGAGCCTCGAGAGCATGGGAGAGGGCAGTTGTCGAGGGAGCCTCGAGGGTAGTGAGGTAAGGGCGGTGGTCGAGGGTGGTGGTTGAGGGAGCCTCAAGGGCACTAGACGAAGGCGGCCTAGGGCGGTGGTCGAGAGCGACCTAGGGTGGTGATTTGGGGTGAGCATAGTTCGGTTCAAACCGAACAAACCAACCGAACCAGGCAAATTTTAACAGTTCGGTTCAGTTTTTATTAGAGTTCGGTTCGGGTCGGGTTAAAGTTTTTTCAACCAGATCCAACCGAATTGTATTACTCATTCTAATTACTATTTACATTCGCTTAAACCCGACCCATTATAGTTCATATAGAGTTACTTCCTTGCAGCTTGATATATTTTTCTCTCACGCAACCAGATAGCGATAAAATACCCCAACAATAGTGTCCTCTCCAATTCTAGGACTTTTCATTATCTCTAGTTCTCTATCCCTCTCTATTACATATTCGCTTCTTCTACTTTGGACCAATCCACTTTGGAGGTAATAAACTTAAGCCATAATGTTGATTCTAACCTTTTCCTAATTCTTCTTCTCGATTGATAAATTTTTGGACCAAACTTCTCTTTGGATCAGGCTTATAATTTTATAGAAACTATACCCAACATCCAAGTTATTACATATTTTTTTATTTACTTTGTCCATCAGATTGAGATCACTTTAATTCTTTATGTAAGTTTTCGCTAAAAAATTTATGTAATCTTTGGTAGGAATAAGAATTTGATTTCTGCATCTAATATTCAATAACATTTAATTGTTAATGAATTTCAATAAATTAAAGTGTAAGAGACTTCTTTCTTCGTCAACAGATTAGAGTTGAAATTGAATTTGGACATAACATTTGTACCTAAGTAAAAACCGAACAAACCGACCCAAACCGAACCGAACTGACTTGAATCGGTTTGCTTCGGTTTTGAATGATAGGCAATTCGGTTCGATTTGGTCAAATTTGGCCAAAACCCGAACCGACCGACTGATTGCACAACCCTAGTGGTGATCGAGTGCGAATCGGATGAGAGAGGAGAGAAATGAAGAGGAATGTTGGAGGAGAGAGAGCGCAGGTTGAAATTTTTAATTAACGAGACTAATTACACGGGACTACTAGTCCCATGTATTTTAAAGATGGTTTTTTTCAAAATCGACCTCTTTTGGCTAGCCTTGATGACATGGCCAAAAAGATGTCGATTTTGCTCAGTATTTAGGGAAAGGGTCGATTTTGCTGATTATGTTCTAAAAACGGTCCTTTTTAAAAAATTCTCCAACTGTTGGGTGTTGATCAACCCCAACACTAATCATCAGAAATTAATTCTGGAAACCAGCTCTCGAAGGAAGACCCCTATATATACACATTTGTGCAAGGTTTCTTGCAGGTTTTACCATGTCAAATGTAACATAAAATAGTAGTTCAAGAAACAATCAAAATGAAATAAATCATATCCATGCACCCTTTCCAACACTGGAACTACCAATAATTTTCCTTGATACGAAACATGGCACCAAGAAACGGTGTCGGTTTGCAGGCACTTACATCGTAAATCATAAATGATGCTCAAGTGAAGAAGATGAACAAAGCCATGATTCAATCAAATACAAAGCATCATACTTCTTGTTAGTCCTTAAGTATCAGAACTAGAAAAAGAAGTAACAACCTTCCTAGTCTACATCAAATAGTGTTCTCACTCTTAATATTTAGCAGCTTTATCAATAACATCATCAGCCAAAAGCTCACAAGAAAACATTTGGACAACAATAACCATTTTCAGCATTCCTTTGGTCTCAGACATGAAGAAGATAAGTATCAGACATCACGACATGTAATAAGGGCTTAGACATAGAAACAGATAATACAAGACAGGTAATAGAGTATATAACATTAAAAGAGGTTCTTCTCAACGTAGAGAGATTGAAAGAGATAATGGTAAAAATTTCAATTGTTCTATTTTTGGGATGACCCTACCGAAGAGGTCGATGAAAAAATACTCCTGGACAAGATAAAGTAGCATGGCTGTAACGTTGACTAGCGCGAAGCAAAAGGAAAGAGAAATTCACCGTAGGAAAGACAAACAAGAAATCAAAGGATACATATGGGAGGTTCAAGGATCCAACTTGACAACTTGTGAAAGTGTCAGCAATAAAGGCAAATCGATCACCAATAAAGATAAGCAGGCACTTAGAGCACCCATGGAAGACTGAGCTCGGGTTATAAAGAATACATTTGGTGGTCTATGTAGCTTAATGAGTCCATTTAAGATTTATGACATGATTCAGTGATCGTCCCGAATCCGGGATGAGTCAATCCGTGTAGCTTTAAAATATGTGGAGAAAAGCCAACGAATATAATGTTTCAAATGACACATGATGAGAAAGAAAAAGTTTTCTAATGCTTCAAAATTGAATTTAATTGAAAAGAACAATCCTTCTGCAACATTGTATAACAGTGAAGGCAAACTTAGTGAAATAAGGGAAAGTTTCAGGAATATGAGACAATTCTTCTAGACCAACTGAGAGGAGAGACTGGGAAGACGATGAAGCTACCAAGGTGAAGCGTAGAGATGACACATGAGCCGGCAGCCCCCATCGACATCCTCATGTTCAAAGCATAGAAATGGAACTTTCTAACTAGCATTTTGATTTTCATAATCCTAAGGATAATCAGGTCAGTTATAGTAGCAAATAAACTATAGTTACATAGTTTTCCAACGAGAAACTAAACAAGCTTCTCTAGCGTTTATAAGAGATTAACTATAGCAATACCTGTAAAGCCAAATTTCCTCGTTCCAATTTCTGATCCTTGACTTGACGCTTATTGCCAAGTAAATCATGTCCTCCCTGACCAGTATAGACAACATCTTCTGAATTGTCCTGGTCATCTTCGTACATACCTGACAAGACAATACATACTGCTAGCGGTAAAGTATAACCTCTGTATTGCTCCTGTCACATGAAAATATTCAATGAGAAAATAATGATACACAATGAGTAAGAAATACAAGAAGTGTTAGGATGAACTTCTTGATCAAACAACCAGTTAGGGAGAAGGCTTGATGCAAGGAAGACAAAATGATATACCACATCAAATATTAAGTCTATGAGAGCATTGATCAATAACAAATTAAACTATGTCATTTCACTTTACAATAACATAAAATGCATATTGCGTTTAAAGACTTCTCAAATACCATTAGGTGTGGTAAGTTCTTACATTTTAAATGTGTTCTCTAGGTTGATACAATTTGATAAAAGAATGGATAAAATAATCATTTCCCCCTTAAAGTATTGGTGAATTCTCAAGTTGCCCCTTGAAGTATCAATTTGCCTTTTTTGCAATTCATGTATTTTTTGCGATCCAAAAAATGAGTTTTTAATTCATAAATGGGAGAAGGTAGTTAAAAAATACCTTTTTAGTTTGGAGAAAAAGACAATTACTGATAAAAACCCAAGGAAAAAAAAAATAAAAAACACAGTTACATCATTAATATGTTCAATATTTGACTATAGACTCACAAAACCATCACATTGTAATCATAAACATAGTTAAAATAGGTAAATTGATACTTTAGGGGGTAACTTGAGAATTCACCAATACTTTAAGGGGGCAAATAGTTATTTTATCCTAAAAGAGTATATGTAAATAAAATCATAGACAAGACCAAGAATTTTAGTCATTTAGGAAAGCTTTAGAACCATGTCGTAGTGCATTCATCTACAGTTTTAATGTGCTGAAACTTTTGGTGTGACAATCAATCTCGACATTTTTCAGCAAAAAAGAAAATTCTTGCCCATCTTTGAGGATAGGAATTTACATACAATGTCAATGTTGTTTAGGAGTTAAATATCAGGACTCATAATTAATCCCAAAACCATATGACAATATAGGGTTAAAGTTCCATGCAGCTCTTTTTCATATATTAGTCCTCAAAGATGGACGCAATCGTGGTAAACATATTATATGTTGGTAGCAATACTACTGCTTCAAGATTCTTTACCAGGCTTGGGAAATTCACAGGTTTTCTTATATAAGCATAAAAAACATGTCACAATATTGTAGAGAGCTACCAATCTACTAAGCTTATAGAGTATTTGCGATAGACCTCTTGCTGAGAGTTCCCCAAGCACCAAGAACCCACCATCGACTCAAAAAGCGACTTCAGACTTTATCCTAAAAATTAACCTCTTTATGAAACTTCTTCAATTATAGGCCATATTTTGTTGCTAATACCAGTTAAATGACAAAATAGTCTTGAGGATGATTGTGATGATACATTCACAGAAGATACATTCTAGCTGAACTCAATCCAACTTGCGCTTAGATTATACCTACGGTTAGCTTTCCTCAATCCAACCTTGACCCAGATTCTAAAAGCTTAATCCCAACCCATAACTGGATAGGTGAAGATGCAACTTGTTCAACTATCAACCGCATTTTATTGATAATCCCGATTAAGTGGCAAAATAGTTTTGAGGATGATTGTAAGGATATATTCACCTAAAATACATCCTAGCTGAACTCAATTTAACCTGCGTTTAGGTTATACATACAGTTAGCTTTCCTCAATCCAACCTTGGCCCAAATTCTAAAAGCTTAATCCCAAGCAATATAATGGGTAGGTGAAGACACAACTTCTCCAACTATCAGCCACATTTTGTTGCTAATCCCAGTTAAATTGCAAAATAGTTTTGAGGATGATTGTGATGATATATTCACGAAAGATACATCATATCTGAACTCAATCCAACCTATGCTTAGTTATACCTACGGTTAGCTTTCCTGAATCCAACCTTGAGCCAAATGCTTAAAGCTTAATACCAACCCATATATTGGGTAAGTGAAGATGGTATGTTTCAGATTTGGTCCAACCAAAGTTAAACAAATAATGTTCAGCATTTGCATCCACATGTGGCGGTTAATCTATCAAGGATTAACTAATTGCAAACAATAATTTATCTTCCACTAAAAAACGTCATACACTTGATGGTTCACCTGAGGTAACAGTGGTCTAAACTACATCCCGTCTTCTTCTGTTTCCCTTTCTGTTGAAGGGTGACAAGGGTCTATCTTGTTTGACATCCATGTATGTCTTAAATCTCCTAAGATATTGATAGAAAGGCTTCTCGTTTCTAAGCAAATCATGTGCGATCGAAAAATATATGACTTTTATTTTTTTGAAAACATAAAGCCTACGGTTTAACCCTCTTTTTGACATCCACTCACTCCATTAGTGTGTAATAAGAAGCTCAGAGTAGATAAGAATGGAGCTAGCATGATATCATCAGGAAACTACAAGGTAGCAAATTGGTATCCTAAAATTACTAGTTTCGGCATTGTCTTTATAAACAACTTGAAGGACACAACCAGGATTTACTCAAAGGATTCTAACTGTTCAAGAAGTTTATATGCCGATTTATTAAATATTCTATACCATTTATCTAATGATAAATAGGAAGCTATACATAAAAAACTCATGCACGAGAAATATTTTCAAAACCCTCACATACAATGTAAGATGTTCAAAATGCCTTGAAAATGCTCATACATAAATTTGATTTGGCTGCATGTTTCAAACAATAGAAGTAAAGACTTGAAACGGAAAAGGAGTAACAATCATTCAGAAATATGAATTCATCTAAACAATTGATTTTCTGGTTAACCATTTCAAGAAATGTTGATTATGTTTTGTGGTAGAGCTATTCAATCAAAAAGGTGTAATCCCTTTCCTATTAAAAGGATTGAATCTCAAACCCGAATAGGCATAGCCTAAAATTGTTTGTTTGATCAAGTTAATTTGGGCATGACAAACTAAAAACAACACATACTCAATGTTTGACAAACCAATTGTTTTTCAACGAAACAATTGACAGGCTTTAAATCAAGCCTAAACCAAGCCAAAGAAAAGAATCATTAACAGTTTTAGTTAGTCTAGAGCATTGCGCTTACTCTAGTTGATTCTTTAGACCATCCATACTCCCTCTTCACCTAAAGTAGAACCCATCACAATTTTTACAAGAACCAAAAGGATTGCTCTCCATTGACCAACAGTGTAGTAACATGGTGCCTTTTGAGGTTTAAAAGTACGTACATTCGCAATGGCTTAAATGTGCGCACATTCGCTAGACTACCTTGCTTGGAAATTTACACTAAATAATAGTATAGGTACGAAAGTGAAGGACAACATAGAACTCAAATTCTCGTTTAATCAACTCAAAAATTTTATGTTGCATATATGACCTTATTCTACAGAGAAAGATATGAAATTTTGATGACAATGACCAATGTGCACCTGAAAGAAAAAGGCAAAGTGAGATCGTGCTTTTATATTATTGGTTTAAGTCACATAAAAACTACCGAGAAGTCTCATATAGGGGCCCACATTCAGAGGCAAAATTACGGAAAATAACATGGCAGATAAGAAAAAGACTTCATATCCATGTAGAATGAAACTAAAACTAGTTAAGCTAAATATTCAATAGATTTACTAATATTTTGTCTGACGATTGCAAACCTGCTATCTAATGCTGTGAAATAACTTCGAGAAATTACCATTTTGGAACATGATTTCCCAATATAATCTATTCCGTTAAGCCAATGGCTATGTAGACCAAGTACAACCATTTCACAACGTGAAAGGAATTGGTCCCCAACAGAAATTCCTATTAAAGAAAAACAAGACTAATAAATAAGGCTAGAAATTGGCAACATAATGAATAAATTGTAATGAATAGTTTTCCCTTCTGTGAAGAAACAAAAAATTGTAAGAAAGGCAGTACTAAATGTATAGAAACTAACCAGGGAGATCACCGATCATTTTTTCTGGATATAGAACTTGATTGTTTTTTATCATCTGCAATATAGTAATAGGCAAAGTTATACTAAGTGTTTCAGTAGTAGTACAAGAAGTCCTAGTGCATGACAAGCATGGTACTAACTATGCAAGAGAATCAAAAAAAATAACACTCTTTGTTAATAATTAACTTTCACAAAATGCTAAACCACAACTGTGAGCCTTGGAGGCAAATTTAGTGGATGGCGATGGCTATGAAGAAAGAGATGGGAACATTAATAAGTCCATCAACAAAAATAAAACACAAAGTAAAAGAACTAACTGCATCAGCTCATCTACATATATGGAGTACTATACAAGCATAGCAATTAAAATGATAAGGACGCATGTGATGGAAAGGGGGCAAAAGCGTCCAAAAAAGAGGAAGTGGCATCTTTATGCTCCGCCAAGGCCCAAAGCAGGCATATTAAGCAATTGGGTCGCATTTGTCTTGCATAGGTGCATTCAAAAGCACTTTCGAGACGTACGCAGGTAAAGCAGCCCAAGCACTAGTGTCAAGTGGTTGACCGCTTCCCTTGGTATTCTACTCCCTTTTGTCTAAGAGGATTTTACTTGTAGCTTCGAAGGAACTTGGAGAAATAAGTATGGTGATTGAACTTAATACTTATGTTTTTCTCCCATTGATAATTTATATCGAACCATTAATTCATTGACTAATTTATGTACATAGTTCATTACATGTTAGTTTATCATACTTAGGATCTGTATAAATCATCACATATGTATTTGTCGAATTTTTTGCTTCCATTATTTTGCTTGTGTTATAATTTCTCCTTCTTTTCTTTCTTTTTTCTTTTTCTAAATTTTTTTCCCTGTTTAGAAGAGTCCAAGGACTCATCCAGATTCCAAACCATCCACCTAAATCTAGAAATTTTGCATGTTCACCAAGGACCATCTTTCTTAACCAAAAAGTGAATTTTCCACCAATATATTTAATATATTAGGGTTTCCATGACTATTTTTATGACAAATGTAGTCCAATAAATGTGGAGCTATGTACACATTTCCAGCAATCTCAATCATTTGGTTATGTGAGGGCACAAAACTCACTAGAAATATGTACAAAACTCCACAATGGTTGTTAAAACTTCTCAAAAAGTTGAAGTTCCCGTGCACATACTGATCCTTATTAATAGTTTAAGCTCATAATCAAAAATTCGACGTCTGAAAGAGAAAATGTCAAAGCTGAAACAATCAAAATTCCAAAATATTTGGAAGTGATGAAATAACATTTCATATTTCTTACTCGTTTCTTCAAAATGACATATTTCTTAAGTAGGTTACAAGTAGTATGGGTACACGCTTTTTCATGAGCTCTAGTAAGGGTGAGGGCACGTGAGACCTTTATTAAATTGGTTGCATATGGGTTTGGCTTTCGCGGATTAGATTAATTTTGGACTTAATGTAATGACACAACCCGGTAATCAGACCCCATCAGTGGCGCCTTTGACTGGGCCATGGATATCGAACTAACAAGGAAGGTAGGCGGGCGCTCAAACTGGTACTTTTGCTCGGGCAGACTGATAGCTCTGCATATGGATATGGATCAACTGAATATTATTCTTCAAAGAAAAACCTACTAATAATGCTAGTTTCCCCGGGAATATGGCAAGCACGGACGACCAATTGCGCTTGCAGGGTGTGAAGGAAGGTTGGGTGCCCCGGGAATATGGCAAGCACGGACGACCAATTGCGCTTGCAGGGTGTGAAGGAAGGTTGGGTGGGGGCATTGGACCAAGAATTGTCCAAACAACCAACCTACCAACACAACACCAATTGCGCTTGCAGGGTGTGAAGGAAGGTTGGGTGGGGGCATTGGACCAAGAATTGTCCAAACAACTAACCTACCAACACAACTGATGTTGTATTTAGTAAAATTGTAGGAAAACTGAAAACTAAAATGTGGGGAAAAAAACTCCTTGGCATCCTTAGATGCTAGTCCAGAGGGTGTACAGGGGCTTATATTTAACCAAGGGGGTTTTAACTGGATTTACCATATCTAATTGTTTTGTAGCATCCTAATAAGCTACTTTTTAGCCTCACTTAAAAAAGATTGGACTCCTAACTTTAAAAAACTGGCTTATCAATTTCTCTCTCCTAGTAAGGTGGGTTTGACAAAGCAAATGTCCACCCATGCTATTTTTTACTCATTTCTCTCTCCCCCCCCCCCACCACGATCTCGAACCCTAGGCGTTGTCATTTTTGCAACAACAAGGCCAATGGCTACATGTTCTCTCTAGGCGTCGTCATTTTTGCAACAACAAGACCAATGACTACATCTTACCAAACATGTAACTGGCCGATCAGCTCAATTTTACCAAACAAGTAATGAAATTTTATCGTAGAAGCCAAAAGCGATATAAAGCTAATATAGCTTAAGAGGTTCTAAAAATAAGCCCTCGCAACACCCTCGCAGGCGCATGGCCAATAGGTCAGGAATCGACTACTTTCTAAATCATTCATTATATAAATGGTACAACTTCCAATTCTTTTTCTAACCAAAATTGTTCGGTGCCATGTTTGAGGTGTTCTTGAATTTTTGTTGATCATCTTGAAACAAACGCATGTCCCACACAAGTATGTGATCAAACCAACCTTTAATTTGCAACCATCTCAACAAAATTAAGTGGTGGTCCAATGGTCTCACTCATCTAGGTCAAAGGCTTTTTCTTTTCAGGAAACTCATCTAGCTCCATGTGTTTATCTTTTCCAGTGCACAGTATACAAGTTCACATCAATTATTTTAATGGTTTTTATTCTACTAAAATGATTTGCAATTGTCATAATAACATTTCCATTTTGGTTTTTCAAATATTAATAAAATAATATTATTAGCTTTAAAATAAATCACGTTCATGATGCCAAATCATATAAGAGGCCTCCTACACATCTGCTTTATTTCAAAGCTTTAGAATAAAAACCCATCTTACCTCATAATAACTTTCATCTCAGTATAACATATCAATCCATGGAAAAGATGGTGGCTGCTAATAGAAAAATATACTACCAAAATTTTGACGTAAGGTGCAGAATACGAAAGAATGATCAATTATCAACATTATATTACAAAAAGAATAATTATTATTATTATTTTGACGTAAGGTGCAGAATGCGAAAGAATGATCAATTATCAACATTATATTACAAAAAGAATAATAATAATAATTATTATTATTATTATTATTATTATACAACATTTTGCTCCCAAAGAGTTAAAAGCAACATGCAATAGGGTAGGATAAGACATGCAAGAGAAAAAGGAAACTAAATATGGCACGCAAGAGAAAAAGGAAACCCACTACCTTGGAACTAGCCTTAAGGTCAGGTCGTTTTGAAGCCCGCTTCAGATCCCCTTCGGAATTGGAACCATTCTTCGGAAGGAATAAGACAGAATTTTGTACATGGTCAGTATATCAAATATTATTGCATAGTGAATACCATAAATAAATAAAGAAATCACTATAAACAAGAAGTCAACCATTCTTCAGAAGGAATAAGACAAAAGCCTTCTACATATATCAAATATTATTGAATAGTGAATACCATAAATAAATAAATAAATCATCGGAAAGAAGAAATCAACATTGACAATCTATACAAACTATAGTATATATGTATTGGTGGCAATATCCGCTTAGAGCAGTGGGTTTGTCGGGTTGTCACGTGTGGGTTAGGGATGAACAGGTTTGGATTATAGTCAAATCAAGCCATTTAACCTTGCCTAGTAAATGAGTTGGGTACATGTTAAGGGACATTCCCTAGTAAAGATTTGACCAAATTAAAAATAATAATAACATAGTACGTGCAAGTAATAAAAATTTGAAATAAAGCACATTACTCAATCACAAAATATTATTTAAACCACACACAACAATATTGAACTATTTAAACCATGTGCTAAACTTTATAGGTGGTTATAAGTTAATTTTATTCCATTATATTTTTTCTTAAAAACCTTTATATGTGATCAAATGATCCGAAAATCGGATTAGAAGAGTAATATATGGTAACTTGATTATTAAATGGGTCTGATATGGGTTACGGTCCTTAATCCGTTAAATAAACAGGTCTGACATATTTGAGATTTTGAGGATACACCCAACCCTGCTCATATCTGCTCTATACAATTGTCAACCTCATCTATATTTACAGGGAAAGTATTCCTAAGACAACTCTTTACCGAATTACCTAGGTAGGCACCTAAACAGTAAAGCCAAAACTCTCACGCCCCATTTGGTACGCGGGAATGAGTGGGAATGGAATGCAATACCAACTCTTTATTCATGCGTACCAAACACGATGTGTTTTTAGACGCTAGAATTGTTATTCCCACTTCTTATTAATTCTCACTTTATGTGGGAATTGTCATTCCCAATCATTTAACAAGGAATTGATATTCCCACTTAAGTGGGAAAAAAATAATCAAATAATTTTCGATTATACGCTCCTTAAAAGATACGAATAGATATAAATTCTCATATGAAAAATTATTTCTATAGAAATAATGTCATTAGCTGCTCGTACAAATATACAAATAGATGTAAAATATTAAAATATTATTCTTTATTCGACTTTGCCCTAGTTCCATCGCGTCTGCAGTAGAAAAAAATCTCGTCTTCGACTCGACGCGACTCGGTTAGGTAACCATTATTTATTTTTAAAATATGTATGTGTGGCTAATCTTTACAGAAACTTTTTATCTTTTGGCAACTCGATTGCGTAATTTGTTGGTAATTAGGTTAATAAATATTTTATCTTGGGATGTATGATTTGAAGTTCCATTGAAACATATATGCCTAATCTTTTTAGTAATTTTTTCAAGCACTCACAACAATAAATAATGTGCTTAATTGATGAGATTTAAAACTTTATGTTTTAATTAGAGGTTAACATGTTTTTTATTCCTTCAAACTTTCTATGTTAACATGTTTTCTATTCCTAATCAATTTTTTGAAAGTTAAAAGTGCATTTGAAATTTCTTAGAAATTTTATATACAGACTAAAAGTTAACATGTTTTTCCAATCCTTCAAATTTTAGTGTTTTCTTCTTCATGCATGTACATGGAATTCAGTCGTAAATCATGTAGCGTGCATATGGAATTTAGTCTATTGTATACGTTTGTACACAGTGATGCTAGTAGCATTAGATGCTCGTACAAGTAATAGACATGTAGCATTAGAAGTTAGAAATATGAAATTATAATTATTTATAATTAAAAATAATTTCTATGAAATTTATTTTTCAATTAGTAAGCCAAAAGTCCGAAATTGTTGCTGAGGTGGTGTCAAAATATAACTATCAACTGAAAATTTATTTCTATAAGAAAAACTATCCTTTTTATAAACCTTATTTTTCTAAAAAAATAAATTACTTAGTCATTTTTAAAATATTTTTATATTTTAAAAATTCTGTGTTTTTGTAAGGGCATTATTAGAAAACTAAATTTTATTCTCGCTTGTGAACAAATGATACCAAGCATGGGTATGAGAATAAGATTGTCATTCCCGTTTCATTCTCTAAACGCACCCAAACATGAGAATGAGAATGTGCATTCCATTCCCACATGTATTCAATTCCTTTCCTATCTTCTTTCCATTCTTACTTGACTCCATTCCCGCATACCAAACGAGGCGTCATTGTCGAGTGTTCACAATCTAGATGAACACGATTCGTCGTAATCTGCATGTTCTAAAATACTTGCACAGAGACAGGGAATCAATTGGAAGATCTTAGGGCAGGTAGTGAAGATTGCCTTTTGTACAGCTCAGTAAGCAAGTGCATCCAAAATAAAAACAAATACTTTGTGATGCTTAAAATCATTCTATGACAACCAATTAAAACACAAGACCATAATGGGAATATTTACCTATGCAACAAAAATGGAACTAAAAATTAAAAGCAACCTATAGAACGTAGAAACTATAACTTCAATAGTCAATGATCATTGTAGTGCATGTAGCAACACGAAATGCCTAAATCAACATATCATTGAAGTCAAATGGACCCCGTTATCTACTGCTAATTTGACATGATCGTGCACAAATGAAAAGGGAGAATATGCTAAAGTTGTAGCCCCCTATTCCCCCAACCACAAAAGGCACTAGTGTTCCTGAATGACAAGTATACCTAATATCAAACATGGAAAATAACAATAACTGAACAATTGCAATTCAATAAAGAATTCAAGACGTATAGGATTAGCTATAAATATCCCAAACTTGAATCTACACAATTGAGTAACAATTAGATTAAATTTCACCTTGTTCTTTGAACACTCTGAAAGTTTTTGCCCCACTTCTTTCACTCGTTTCTCTTCCTCCTATAGAAAGTTAACAGAAAATTAATATCACTTTTCTTAACTGAAAAATGAAAGACGTACACATTCTCGGTAAGCAATGTTACTAAAATCTGAGACAGTACAATAGTGCAGAAAAAGTAATGTGTTCATACTCTGGTACTATCATAAACTTTCAATAATTGTTTAACCATAAACATCCAACTGTGTAGTTTGATATCATCATGCATCATAGAATCACAAAACAAACCTCTATTAGTATTTAGCACTTTAAATGGTAAAAATGAACGATAACAGAGTGATGTTTCGTGTTCATATTCTTAATTATAGACCTGCTCTACTTAACAGTGTCCCATTAGCATTGATTCTTACCATGAAAATTGTTTGGCTCAAATGGCAAAAGCCAGCAAGTGGGCCCAAATTCTAAATGGGCTCTGGGAGTGAAGTTCTGGCATAAACTGAGCCCTACCTGGCAAATGTCTTTCCTTCCAGTGAGGGCCATGGTAGCACAGATGCTCTGAGACCTCATAAGGTCCAACCCTAATGGGAGTCTAAATTAATAGCAAAAATAGGTAAATAGAACAAGCATGCACCAGGAACTTGTTTGATTGCTATTCTTCATAAGCAACATGAAAACAACTTTCCTTCCACGATTCAACAACAACAACAAATCTTTTACCCCAAATTTTTGCAGTCGGCTACATGAATCTTAATCATAATGTACGGGCTTTAGTTTTATATGATTGGAAATTCAGTAGAACCACTATACAAATTTTCTATTGTGTTTCTGTGGCCCTCTACATGGCGTGTGTTCCAACCTCGTGGAGGCAAACAGTAGCTCAGTGTATAACTCATAGGACAGGAAAGTAGCATGCACACAAAAGTACATATGAACTAGCACTTTTTCAATGGATGCAAAAGACCGTTAAGGCTATAAGGGACTGAAAATGTCTAAATGGTGTAGAATCAGTGATCAGGGACTAGCTTTTAAAGTGTGAAGCTAAGCCAAGGATTGTCTATTTCAGCATCTCAAATTGTGGGATGGTAAGATTTAAAGTCGAGATGCTGCAAACCTACAAAACAGGTATGTTGCATACCCTTGTTGTGCATAGTTTACGGTGATTCGAGAATCCCTAATATAGAGCTTCAAAATGAGCGTGTGAAATTAGGACAAAATAGGAAACCCAATAAAAGCTAGTTACAATTAACTGACTCATCATGTGAATGAGGTGGAATTAAGAGGTGTGTCAAAAGTGCTATCCTTATTCCTAGCTGGGCAACGCATCTATATGTTACTGCTAGAAGGGGTTCAAGCTATGATGGTACAAAAACTTTATTGAAGACAGTCCACCTTCTTGAATTAGCCACAATAAAGACTTTCAGTAGATAAACCAAATACAATGTTTTGCATCTGATTTCTGAAAAATAATCATACATACTAGTTTAAGACTTTCACTCTGCCAAAAAAAGAACCTAATGCATATTTGACCAGTCTGATTACCTGAACGAACTGAAGGTAGTAGGTGTTAAACATCCTAAGAGTCTCTTTCACTCGTTGTTTAGCACTCTTCGTGGGTGCTTGACCATGAACCCCATTGTTCAATTGCTCGGAAGCGGCAGAGACTTTGCTCTCGTTTGCATTAAACCAGCCATTGCCCGATATTCCATTCTCCTTAACCTCGCTCGATATGCCATTCTCCCTAACCTCGCTCAAGTTTTCATTCTCCATAACCTCCTCCTTTCCGCTAACACTAGCGGCATCATTTTGCATCACGAACCCATTAGTCTTAGAAGGACCTTTTTGTTCTCTCTTAACCGACTTCGGTTTAGGCCTCTTCTGAGGACTCTCCTCATTCTCGAACTTCTTGCTCAAAGCATAACATGGCCTCTCCTTCCCCAAACATCTAGCACTGCGCCTCCTGCCAGCTAAGGCCTCTCCTTCTACAACCATGGCCTCCACTGATGACATACCTTCAGCTGTTCCATATACAACAAAATAGCGAACTCTTAAAATGCAATAGATTACATTGGCTTATGCTATTAACATAAATTTTCTTATGCAATGCTTCTACAGATATAACGAGAACTGAGCAACGTACAAAAATCCCAGGAAATTGTCCGTCGAAAGCACAAACTGATAAAACCAGACTATGGCGTAGAAAATGATGAAAGCATATCCAAAATCTCAAATATTGGTATCAACTCAAAATACCCAAAAACAACAAAATCAAATACTACAGAGAAACCAACCCACTTCAAAATGGCCCACAAATTGCAGAAAAGTACACAAAAACAAACACTACAAATAAAAGAACAGGCATCAAAATGGCGCATAGGAAAAATCCAAGAAGAATGCATCTCCCATAGAGCAAATGTAGCAGAATCCCTCACATACTAAAGCTCAAAAGAGCTCAAAAAAAAAGAGATCAGATAATAAAATCTACAGCTCCTCGAGCACGATTTGAGCAAATCGATCACGCAAACTTCACATCTAAACCACCAAAACCCTAAAATACTCGTAATCGACTCGAAAAAATTAGGAAAAATCAGAAAAAAAATCGAAATAAGAGGAAGATCCAGATGAGAAGCAAGAACTAGGGTTTTAGTTGGAAATGAGAAAGGGTCGGAGCTCACCGAAGCCGATCTTGAGACGACCGTAAGAGGAAACGAAGCTAGGGTTTTGAAAGGGGAGATGGATGGAGGAGAGAGAGAAGAAAAACCTTTTCGCCTTCGAATTTTCGGTTGGGTTTTCTCCCTCCACCTTTTTTGTCCGAAAAAATGGGGGATGAGAGAGAGAAGCGGGAAACGAGAGAGTGGGCCCACTCTCGTGAGGTGACGAGACATAACATGTGCCGGCCCACGCCGACCCATCATGTTTATTTTTTATTTTTTTGAGTTTTATAAATGGTTTTTAGTTTTATATATAGTTTTTAAGCATTGTTTAACACTTAAAAATTATATGTAATTAACTAACAAAGCAATCATTATAGAAATAAAAAATAATTTTATTAAGTAAAATTATATACTTGTGTAGAACGACAGAGAGAAACATTGCAAACACAAAAATTTTACGTTGTTCAGAGTAAGTCTTACTCAACGGGCGGCAACTAATTGTTCCACTATTCTAAAAATATATGAATAAATTATTAAAAACTTTAAGCAAATTAAAATCGAGAAAATATGTCAATTCGTACTAGAGTTCAATCTTTTTCATTCTCTTCATCTTCCTCCTCAATGTTGTGTTTGGGAGATCACTGAGGGAATAGAAGGAAGGGTAGGGAAATGAAGGGAACTTGTCAATTTTCTTTTCCCCTCCTTTACCCCCCCCCAAATTTATGTCTTAGAGTGTAAGATTTTAGTGTAAATTTTTCCTCATTTCCCTCCTTTATTCTCCCGATAAACTCCCAAACAATGTTAAACTTAAAATGTCTTTCCCCTTCCCTTCTCTACCCTCCATCCAAACACAGCACAAAGAAAGCCGCGCGTCCTCAAAAGACCCCTTTAGGTAGTAGGCTCGTTATAGACATCTTCTCGACCCAGCTATCAACTCTTCTGTGCTCCTGCGGCGATTCAATGTTTATATTATGTATAGGCAAATGTCTAAGGGATGAACTGATAAAATCATGAAGGGGGAAATTATATGTGAGCCAACGGGTTGAGTTCAACGGGCAAGCCTACTTACATTTAGTCTCAGCTCGTTCGTTGGGCTCGATGGACCGAGCGAGTTGTCGGCCTACTTGTTACTAGAAGCTAGCCCAACACAGTGTCACAGCCCAATACTATAGCGGGCCGAATTGGGCCCGTCCCACACTAAGTCGGGTTGAGCCCAGCGAGCTGGTTCATGGGCTAACCTGGCCCAGTGCCCACCCCTATGTACGATGAGATTTTCTCGACTTTTGAAATAAACGGTAAATCATTAAAAATGGAATTTTACGGTGAAATTAATATGTTTTAGGAATGATGTAAAATTTCACCCAACCATATATTTAACACTTTCACTTATATTTTTTATTTTTCATCAAAGATGATCATATGATTTTGATAATGATGAAAAATATATTCTGGGATGAAAGAAATAATGAAGGGTTGTTTGGTACATTTTCTTTAAAAAATACAGGAAATGGAAAATGGTTGATTTCTCTAAAACCTCAAAAATAAAAAAAAAGGACAATGAAACTCTGAAAAAGGTTTACAAGTGATTTCCTATAAAAAAATTCCAAAAACAGATTTCCTAAAACAAAGGTCAAATCTACAAATGGGAAGGTGCCACGTCACTCTTCCTTTTGGTTTTAATGTGGTAGCCCACCGAAGGAAAGCATGCATCATATGAAAGCTTCCTATAATTCAAGCCTACAGCTTCGGTGCTCCACAAAGATTTGTTGGAGCATCGGTAGCATATCTGTAAATAATTTCCTTAAAAATAGCTCTCATATTTCTAGGTAGATAGATTTGACGGTTAGAAGGTGTTCCACACCCAAAATTGTAATTAACTATAGGTAAAAAGGTTATTTTAGGAAATACAATTTAGGAGAGAAACAGAATTTATGATTAGTTAGAATTCTCCAATTCACGTTACAATTTTTTATTGCGTTATCAAGTCATGCTCCGCACTTTCCTGTAGAAAAAAAAAGATCCTCTCTTGAAGATAACGCTCCGCACTCTCCGTCTCGAAAAAATCTCGTGAAGGGAACACCATGAAAGGTACTCTTATCTTATTCTTTTAAAAAAATTAATTATATAATATGATGTGGTGGCTTTAGTTGCAGCAACTTATGCTTAAAAAATTTTAATTATTTAGTTTGATGTAGTCGCTTTCGTCGCAAATGATGTAGTCGCGCGCTTTCGTTGCTTTCGTTGCAGATGATGTAGTCCCTTACATAGCAGCAACTTACGCTTAAATTTTTTTAATTATATAGGATGATGTAGTCACTTTAGTTACTAAATTAAAAACATAATCTCCATGTTTATAAGCTAATTAATCAAGATGGCTACAATTTTTACTATAAAAGTTCTTACAGTTTGCATGCATGCACTATCACTATCACACATGAACGTTATAGAAGTTCTTCCTTCTCTCTCTGATTTCTTGTCTTTATTTTTCTTTTTGTGTGGCGGAATAAAGGCGGTGATCCCTTTGGCTGAATTTTTTTCTTTTGCTGTGTTTAGTTAGCAGTTTAGGATAGAAAGCAGGATAGAAAGATAATTTTGAAAGACTAAAATGCCCTTATTGTTGGAAATTTATCAAATAATTAAGATTATAGCATGCAGATAAATCCAAAAAATTAAAAACAATTAAAACTGGCCTGAACGGGAGCAGTCGTGTATTCACTGCCCTAGAAGATTGAGAACCCGCCTATCGCCCTGGCGCAGATGGTTCCCTCCCCCTAGCGGTAAAATCCCCCGGAAACGGCCGGCCTCTACACTCGGGCGAGAGTGCAGAGCTTCAGCTCAGATGAAGGAAGTTGCCCATAAAATAAAATAAAGATGTAGATAAAAATAATATGTAGGGGAGAGAAAAAACAAGAGAAACTTGTTGTATATTTTTTTTCTTATTTTGAGCTCAACATATGGATATATATATATAGGGTTGGAAAAGACGTTACAAAACCCGTAATTAATTCTGTAACGTTCATCATAAATTTTGTAACGTTCCCCATAATTATATATCCGTTACACATATTTTAATTGCATGTTTTAATTATAATATTTATTATAATTCATGAAGACAAAATTGCCTTTTGTTAACAAAATATCTAACAGTCCCCCCCCCAAGGCAATATTGACTGAAGACTCAGAAATCAATAAATAAATCAAGAAATCATAAATCAAATATAGGTTGGGCAACCTTTCGTATCGTGAATTCGGGAGAGGTAGCTTTCGGCTTTGAACCTTTCCTTAGTGAGTTCATCGCCACCTGAGGGACATAATGGACTAGGCCTTGAATTAGGCCCCTTTAATCAGGTATTGATGAAAACACACACAATACGCTTCATCTATTGAGCAAAGCGGGTTGAGCGTTAAAGGCCATGCTCACAATAAACCGACTCATGAGAGTTTCTAGGGGTTAGCCCAGCCCCCCCTAACCGCGGCCATCACGGTTCCTCTCACGTAGGTAAGTCCTCAAAGGGTACTACAGCTGTTTATTTAATACCCCCCACAATACACGCGTTGGACTTATTAAGAGTAAAACTCAGCCTAGCCAGCTGTATCATAAGAGCATCGTCATCATAGAGAAGGGGTAGTAGCAAATGCTACATAATGATATATAAATATATCTAGGTCGATGCTCCACACGAGAGTCACTTGTCCAGCTTGTTTCTACCACATTGAACCGACATTGGGACTACGTCTCCAAATAAGGGTTGGGTTGCCGCTGTCAGTGACCTCATCTATGGGCTTAACCCCATCTCCCTCGATGAATCCAGAACCACACTCCTGGATAATCCCTTAGTCAAAGGGTCATCAAGATTCTTTTCACAGACTTTACAAAGTCTAGAATCATAACTTTGCCTAGCAGGCGTTGTATTTATTTATCAAGTTCTTATTTTGTAATTAGTCCATCATATTGTTTGAAATTGACATTAGGTCATGATCTATGATCATAAAAGATCATAGTCTATGTCTGAAGAGATTGACCTTAATATCTGAACATTTCAAACTAATGTGGAACTAAAAATTCTGCAGTTATGCATATGCACATACATGAATGAAATTAATAATAGATACATGCAGAGCATAATAGGATTTCGTATCTTAAAATATATTTTCGTATCTTAAAATACATTTCATACTTCATAATTCAAATGCATAAAATTTTTAAAATTCTTCTATTATAAGAGGTTACAAATTGGTTGCCTACAAAGGAGACCGTCCAAATTTAAATCGGTTGCCTACAAATGAGACCTTCCAAATTTAAATTGGTTGTCTACAAAGGAGACCTTCCAAATTTATGTTGCCATTTTCTAGTACCACCTCTTATACAAATAATAATAATAATAATATTTGTACATACGTGCTTTAAATTTTACAAGTGCATTCTTGCATAAAACCTTGTAATTAATCATGTAAAAAATGCAAGTTATCTAAAAAGATATATGAGCATTTATTGCAATATTCATCAAAATGCAATAAAAATGATGAACTTTACATTTGAATAATATAATTCACCATATAAAATAGAATTTTAAAAGATGCACCTCTTTGATTTGGTTCGCTCATATATTGATCATTTATCATTAGGCAATATATGATGCAAGAAGCGTAATTAAATAAATGCATATGAATTATTCTCATAATTCCGGTCCTCTTATTCCAACTCGTTCCTTACAGAGCGCGTTACGCAACCCTTAAACCTTGCCTTAGACACCAACTAATCCAAGAAAACTTGAATCGGTTCACTCAATGAGTTTTTGTTCCTTAACAGTATATAGAAACTTTAAATTATTTCCTGCAGTCATTTAAATTGCCTAGCAATTATACTGCAAACATATGATGGATAAGGCCGAGGAGGGGTTTACCTATTGATGTTCGAACCTCATGATTTTCATGTCTTGAGAGTAAAACTCATCTGCTGCAGACAGCTGCCACTTAAGTTGCTGAACAAAAACTGCCACATAAGTTGCTGAACAAATTTGCATTCACTTTTACCACCTTCTGTACTAAGCTTATTAGATGCATAAATACACTAATGTATGAAATTATTAATAGAAGGCACCATATTATTGATAGCTTAAAGAAATAAAAGTATTAAACCATGAACAAATCCAGA